TCCCCAGCCCCTGACTTTAATTCTTTAGGATAAATACCAAGGAATGGTATAGCTGGGTCATTTGGTGGTTCCATTCCTAGTTATTTGAGGAAATCCCATACTGATTCCCATAGTGGTTGAACTGATCCCCACTAACAGTTTAAAAGTGTACCTTTTTCTCCCCACATCCTCTTATTTTTGCATGTCCCTCCCCCAATCTGGAGACTCTCCAGTAAGATTTCCTCAAACCAACATCCCCATCCTGTGGCCATTTAGGGAACTGCAGCTAAAGATTTACACCTTTCAACCCTTCACAAATGGCTTGGTATCCTTGCTTGAACTCATTTACTTGCACCCAGTGGGCTTGCTGCTACCAACCAACCAAAGCCCTGGAGCAGCCCTTGTTTTGCTTTCTTTTTTGGTACTGGGGATTGACCACAGGGGCATTTTACCACTGGGCTACCCCCACTGCCCTTTTTATTTTTTCTTTTGGAGACAGGGTCTCACTAAGTGGCTTAGGGCCTTGCTAAATTGCGGAGGCTGACCTCCAACTTGCAATCCTCCTGCCTCAGGTCTCCCAAGTCACTGGGATTACAGGAGTGCACTACAGCTCCCGGCTCCTGGAGCAGCTCTTGTGCTGGATGTGTGCCACAATCCCTACCCACCTCCCAGCCACTGAGAAAGTGATACACATCCCACACGCCAACCCAGATGACACAGATGAGCAGTCAAGCTCAGCATCCCTGAGAACATCAACCTGCGCACTGCCCCTTCTCCAGGCAACCTCTCCCTCCTCCCCTGCTTCGTGTTTCAGGTGTCGTATCTCACCGATGGGTGAACCTGGACCAGTCCCACCTGGGCCAAGTGGGTCTTCATGGCATCTGCCAGCTTGGCCACCAGCCGTTCCCGCACAGAATCTGGCTCCTTCTGGAAAGAGGGAGATAGTGGGGGAAAGGAAAGGCCTGGACTTTGTAGTTCTCAGGGAACTGGGTGAGAAAGAAATAGGAAAGAGGGGAGGGAAAGGGCCTTTATCTCCCCTCCTCAACCCCAGCCCTGTGCCTTTCCCAGTGTCCTGACACTGACCGCTCAGTGGACAGAGAATGCCTCTTCCTCCCAGTAGTATACAGGACCCAGCACTCAATGTGTCCAGTGTATGGTTTCCTTTTTAAATTTTTTTTTTAGTTGTAGACAGACAGAAGACCTTTATTTTATTTATTTTTATGTGGTGCTGAGGATGGAACCCAGGGCCTCAGATG